TGCGGTCAAGTGGAAGAAGCTGGCACTGGGGTGGCCCGGCCCAGAGATGAGAACACTATTCCATGTGAGGCCGGATTTGCGCTTTGTAAAGTTGCAAGCGATGTGCCGGCATGAAATACTGTCTCGCTCTGCTGAGCACGCCAAGCTTTTTAGAGGCCAGTTTAGCTTTCTCTTCCAAGTGACCACGAAAATGCACACTATTCGATATGTCGACGCCGAGGATTTCGATGCCAGCTGAGGCAGCAAGGGGAATGCCTTGAAACTGAGGAGATACGAGAAAGGGGTTCTTTTAAGCGGTAAACGCGCAAACTTGTGTCTTCTGAGGATTGAACTGGACTAGATTTAGTCGCCCCAGTCTAAAACTTTGTTCAACAAAGTCTCGACTTCAGACACAAGTTTGTTCCGGTACTCGGTGACGTTTTCCCGAGAAATATTGGCACGGCCGGTGTATAAAGGATCACTAGTGCTGTCGACTGCATAGCAATGAATGTTACTGGTTTGCAATATATCATTGATATGCAGAAGAAACAGAGTTGGTGATAGCACGCAGCCTTGTGGAACACCAGCGTTAATGGGGTTGTAATCGGAGCATGCACCGTCTACTAAGACCTTGATGCTCCGATCGGCAAGAAAACTGGTGATCCAATTGCACAAATTCTCGAGAAGCCCATAGGAAGGCAGCTTCGAAAGAAGCGCTTTGTGCCAAACCCGAACGAAAGCCTTCGCTGTGTCCAAACTAACGGCCAACGCCTCCCCCTTGGACTCCACTGCCTCCGCCCATCTATGAGTTAGGTAACATAGAAGATATCCAGCTGAGCAACCTTGACGGAAACCGTTCTGGCAGTCACTAATCAGCTGGTGATCCTCAAGGTACCTCAGCTGGCAGTTTATAATGGATTCCATTATTTTGGGGAACAAGTAGGTTGCCTTTTTTAGGGATCGGGTGGACCAGAGCTGTCTTCCATGAATTCGAAACTACGCCTTGGGAGTAGGAGTACCGGAAAAGACAAGTTAAAACCGGTGCCAACTCCGGAACACACGTCTTCAGCACAATGGGAGGGACTCCATCAGGCCCACTCGACTTGCTGACGTCCAGGGAGAAGAGTGCTTTGCGAACCGAGCGCTGTGTGAACCGCACATCCGGCATGGAGCACTCACATGGCGGGATGGTCGGCAGTGTGTTCCCCCGTCATCTAGAGTCGAGTTGGACGCAAAGAGAGAGCTCAACAGATCGGCTTTCTCCTTTGCGGCATGGGCCATGAGTCGTCCTCCCTGTGCAGCGATGGAAGAGATGGCTGACAGAAGTTCCCTTGGACAGCCTTGGCGAGAGACCAGAATGCACGGGTTCCCGAAGGAAGGCGAAATAGCTTCTCGCCAATTCTGCCAATGTGCTCAGTCCTTTCTTTGGAAATGACGTTTTTGAAGGACCTGGAGGCGGAATTATACTTCTTTTTAAGTGCGTTGGAGCTTACATCCCAAGACATTTATGCGTCAGCCCAGGCCCGGTAGCACTCCTGTTTATAGCGTGATGCTATTTTACAGGAGCGACCAAACCATGGTTGGGATCTGCCTCCGGTGGGAACCACAGAGGATGGAATAAAAAGTTCCATTGGAAATCTTAGAATTCCCTTTAGTAAAAACGAAAAATTTACATTATACCATTTATATTCTATACTTATGCTACATCCTGACTGTTCCCTATATTCTACTATCCTTCCCGAACAAACATATCTTGCCATGAGTACAACTAGACTGCAATACGTCATCATGAGCTCACTGGACAAATGCAAAGACTTTGCAACGAAATACCAGACCAGACCCATATGCGAAGTTGTCATCTTAACAACGACGAGTCAACAAGTTCCTGAAGTTTGTGACGTAACTACGTTTTCTGTACACATCAACACTTTCCATACTCTAAGAAACAACAATTGGATCTACAGACTCCAACGCAAGACTCCGTATGCTTTAGAATGCGAAAGCAAAACGACTCACGGCGAAATCTCTGGAGCAGGTATCATCACTCTAGAACAAGGAAGTAAAATGTACACCGCGTTTGTTAAACTCCTAGCTGAGGACACAAAATCGATCAACATCCTTTTATCTATGTGGATATTAAACACATTTGGATCCCAGATAAAATTAAGCTGCAACAACCAGAACTTGCAACAATCCAGCTCAACAACATTCAACTTGACTTTCTTAACTCGGTTAGAGAACAAATAAAAACTCACACAAAACTGCATAAAGATAAATAATAAACCTACATTCTTAGCAAAACATGTAACAAAATTTTCCATATTAAGTAGGATTACTGGCATCATTATGCTAACATATTTTTGTTATAAATGTTATAAACGCTTGCCATGGAATAACACGGCTACAAATCCACATGGTAACTGTAACTAACTGTATACTACTGACAGCTTTGGTGCACCCGATCCCTAAAAAGGGCGACCGCTCAGATCCGTCCAACTACAGGCCTATCGCTATCACCTCCTTGTTCTCCAAAGTAATGGAAACCATTATTAACAGCCAGCTCATGCGAAACCTTGAGGATCACCAGCTGATTAGTGACCGCCAGAACTCGCGGTTTCCGTCAATATCGCTCAGCTGGTGATCTTCTATGTTACTTAACTCATAGATGGGCGGAGGTAGTGGAGTCCAAGGGGGAGGCGTTGGTTAGTCGTTTGGACACAGCGAAGGCTTTCGATCGGGTTTGGCATAAAGCGCTTCTTTCGAAGCTGCCTTCCTGTTGGCTTCCCGAGAATTTGTGCAATTGGATCACCAATTTTCTTGCCGATCGGAGCATCAAGGTCGTAGTAGACGGTGCATGCTTCGATTACAAGCCCATTAACGTTGGTGTTCCACAAGGCTGCGTGCTATCACCAACTGTGTTTCTTCTGCATATCAATGATATGTTGCAAACCAGTAACATTCATTGCTATGCAGTCGACAGCACTGGTGATGCTTTATGTACCGGCCGTGCCAATATTTCTCGGGAAAACGTCACCGAGTACCGGAACAAACTTTTATCTGAAGTCGAGACTTTGTTGAACAAAGTCTTAGACTGGGGGTGACTAAATCTAGTCCAGTTCAATCCCCCAGAAGACACAAGTATGCGTGTTTACCGCTAAAAAGAACCCCTTTGTCGTATCTCTTCAGTTTCAAGGCACTTCCCTTGTTGCCTCAGCTAGTATCGGAATCCTCGGTGTCGACATATCGAGTGACGTGCAGTTTTGTGGTCACTTGGAAGAGAAGGCAAAATTGGCCTCTAAAAAGCTTGGCGTGCTCAGCAGAGCGGGACAGTACGAGAATTTCATGCCAGCACACCGCTTGCAACTTTACAATGCGCAAGTTCGGCCTCACATGGAATACTGTTCTCATCTCTGGGAAGGGGCTCCCCAGTGCCAGCTCCTTTCACTTGACCGCATCCAGTGCAGAGCGGTTCGAATCGTCGACGACCGAGTTCTTTCCGATCGGCTTGACTCACTGGCACTGCGTAGAATTGTTGCATCGCTTTGCGTATTTTATCGCGTGTATCACAGGGAGTGCTCTGAGGAATTGTTCGGACTAATTCCAGCCGCTTAATTTCACCATCTCACATCGCACATCGCGACAAAACTCGCGATACCATCCATATCATCTGGATGATTGGTGGTCCACCAGTGTGCGATTTAGAAGAAGTTTTCTCCCTCGCACAACTTCCTTGTAGAATCGATTATCACCAGCGATTTTTCCGGACCGATACGACTTAGGGACCTTCAAGAAAAAAGCCTACTCCTTTTTAAAAGGCCAGCAACGCATCTGCGATTCCCCTGCTTCCCCTGGTGTTGCAGTTGTTCATGGGCGGCGGTAGTCACTTACCATCAGGTGAGCCGCATGCTCGTTTGCCCCCTCTCCTATAAAAAAAAATACAAATTTTTGGTAATTGCTTTGACCGTTCTCGTCTCCGAAAACAGGTCGAGATTCCCATATAATCACTAAATACCACTGCTGCAACATCCTGTATATCAGAAGACGAAAACAAAGCTGCTGACTACACTCAAAAATCGAGCATAACCGCTCAATCTTTGTTCTAAGATGGGAGATGTTATGTCATAGATACTATTTACTTTATGCTATGTTATAAGTATATACTTTATATTGTTTAGTTACTTAAAAGCTAAATTACTTTCTTAGAAGCCAAACTAATTCGATTGTAATATTATATGCTAATGTTTATAGTTTACTATTCCTAATTGTATCTTAGAATAAGTTAACGATAACATTAAGAACAATGTTGTTACCTTATCTTTACCCCACCTCCTAGCTTCCTACACTATTTAAACCAAATCTTTTGATCACTCTATATAATTCCAACCCAAGTTCTCTGTGTCAACAACTATATTTTAAGTTAGTTTAAAAGTATTAAATAAATTTATTTTTAAAAGAGTTTTTGTCTCTGCCACATAACAATTTGTTCCCAGTCAACCCCGGGTGAAATTAAATATAATATTTCAAAGTAGATTGTCGTGAAGTATAGAGTTAAATTTATATCGGTTAAGCTACGATCCAGTCGTATGTTTGTTATATTAAATATTATTCGTTGATACTAAGTGATTTGGGAGTGAGTTTCAAAAATATCTGATTAATAATTTAATTTTAATATCTTCGGCAAGAGGTAGTGTGAATTTTAGTTATTATTGTTGTTTTCATTCAAATTTATATTCTTTACGATAATAGATGTGGATGTCGTTGGGCAACGGCACCTAATTACTACCAGGTGGACTATGTGCTCGTTTGCCACACATATTCTATAAGAAATATATACTGTTTTACCTTCAGAACTGCTCTTTATTGTGGTCAGAATATTTTAATTGATTTTTTGAAGTTTATTGTACTCTTTATTCAAATTTTATTTACAAGCTTCTAAATGAGGTAACAGATTTGTTTACGCTTCTACGAAGTTAGGTAAATAATCGTATTATTATGTTATGAATAAAAATTTATTGAAATGCTTATTGAGGAAAACGCACGTCGGTATCACGCAAGTTCTCCTCTATCCACCGGTCTGCCTGTTCAGTCATCTCTTCATCAAAATAGTCTCGCCAACCGCCAACATTACCTGAAATAATATTATGAAAAACCAAGTTGTTTTTATAGAGTATAATTAAACTTTTTTACAATTAATTAGTTAAAATCGACTATAAAGAACGAACAAAAATACTACATAATAGCTTCTAAAGTCGGGGCTAAGAAAGTTTGTCAAAAAATTCAAGCCCCAACTAAGGAACACCGTCAACTTAATGTTATAACTATTCATCCGTCCATTACAGCCTATCAGCCAATGCTGCACATAGATTGCCACGCTAGGCAAGATGATTGACAACCGTATTTTGTAGTTTTTAGTTCATAACAGGAAGATGCTGTCGCCCACCTTCAGTTTTAGTTTCCCTCTGTTGGCTGTTAGCACACATAAGGGATGATATGGAGTAGTGGTAGTGAAATTTCGTACACTGCAACTACACATTCACCTCTTTTATTTAAAATTTGTGTCAAAATTTTTCACTGTCAAAAGCTACGTATATTTAACTTATTTTATTTTGTTATTTAGAGGCCAATTGTGGCTTACGAATTTAAACTAAAAGATCAGTAAATATAAAAGAGAGTTTTTATAATAATTATTTTTTGATTTCAGACATAGTACTCATTTATAAAGGAAAATATTTCTGCTGCGTCGTTGTCAACTGTCAAAGCATAACGACTACATTCAATTTTTGTCAATATGGAACCAATCCAGGGAAGTTATGTGATAATATTTCATTTATAGATTAAAGTGCTTTTATTTAGGCCGTAAATGATTGTGTTTCAGGGAAAGATGCGGGGTATAGCACATTTCAAGTTAATATGAAGCTATGTTATGTAAAGACTTTTGAGTGCTGTAGAGATCTGTTTAGATTTTTTAATGAATATCTCTGCTCCGCTACATTCACAGACGGGTTTCCTGCAATATCAAAATTGTGCTGAGGGTAGGCTGTTTAAAGGTAAAAGGGGATATAACATACATATTAAACGATGCCATAGTAAAAATATTTCGGCTTCACAGCCTACCGTAGAAATTCATAACTCTATTAGCAATTCCTCTAATGACACAAATTTTTCCCTTTTTACGGAGCAAATTTACAATTATCATCGTAATGTACCAGTGGTTAAAAGAATTCCTAGAGGTGCGAGGATGCAGCTTGCTAAAGCATTGTCGTGCACTATTCAAAATTGTTTCACTAATAGTGAAAATATGTGTTGCTTGTTCCCATTTTGATTTTGATAAAACAATAAATAAATCAATTATGTCTCAACTTAAAGAGACATCTTTTAAAAATTTAGATTACCCAATTAATACCCATTTTTCTTGACCACGTCCTAAATTTGATTTAAAAAAAGTAGTTTAATCGAAAGTAATGGATAGCGACTTAAAAAATGCATCCAGTATTTTATTCTCAGACGACATCCTAGCTCCTCATAATGTTGAAACTCTTGAAAGTCTTCGTTAGAAGCATCCTTCGGTCAAATCTTCTCAAGGTTTACCGCTGCAGCACAAGACTTCAATGTAACCTTTACGAATTTCTGAAAAAGACACTTTTGAAGCAGTTATGTCATTTTCGAATAGCTCTGCTGGTGGCATTGACGGAATTACGCCTCAACATCTTGAAGATCTTGTAAGCGCTTCTGCTGGTGACGCCAGCGGAGTACTTCTTAAAGACATTACAAAATTATGTAACTTTATGCTTTCTGGTAATGTGAATCCAAATTTCATTGCATTCTTATATGGGGCAAGATTTTGTGCCTTCAAAAAAGAGGATAACGGTATCCGTCCTATTGCCGTTGGTTCCACATTTCGACGCTTAACTTCAAAATTGGCTTGCAGGCACATAATCTTAAGACCAAATTTCAGCCTACTTAACTAGGATTTGGCACTAGAGGTGGCTTTGAGGCGGCGGTACTTTCAGTGCTTACATTATTAACAAACTCTGATGCAGATGTTCTTGTGAAGGTTGACCTAAGGAATGCTTTTAACTCTAACGACAGGGTAAACTTGCTGAAAGAAGTGGCTAACAATACCCCCGAAATTTACCATTACGTTTGGCAATATTATAGCCAAAATACTAACTTGTTTTACGAAAACCATGTTATCGATTCTGCTGTCGGTGTTCAGCAGGGTGACCCACTAGGTCCAGCACTTTTCAGTTTGGGAATTCAACCCATTATTTCAAATTTGATATCCAAGCTGGACGTCTGGTACCTGGACGACGGTACACTGGGAGGTAGAGCAGATGACGTCCTCAGTGATCTTCCTCATATTTTTCGAAATTTTAAAAATATTGATCTTGAACCAAATAGCAGTAAATGTGAAATATTTCTTTCCAATAATTTATCTACTTCTCATAGATACACTTTAATTCAAAATTTCAATCATATTTTTCCAGGAATAAAAACTTTCAGTACGGAATCACTATACCTGCTAGGTGCCCCATTGCTTTTCGATAGTATTAAACCTGTTTTAAAAAAATTTAAACAGTTTTTAAACCACGTTGATAAATTGTATAAATTAAACCCCCACATAGCTCTTACTATTTTAAAATATTGTCTTCTTGTACCTAGATTTATATACTTACTCCGCGCTAGTCCAGTCTGGAAATGTTCGGATATTTTAAAAGATATTGATAATAATCTTTAAATAGCTACAGAAAAAATTCTAAATTTCACTTTAAATACAACGGCCTGAACTCAAGATACTTTACCTATAAAATTTGGTGGTATTGGTGTGAGAAATCTTTCTAGAGTTGCATTTTCTGCTTTTCTTGCTTCCGTGCATAGTGTCAATAACTTATGTAACATGATTTTAATTTTGTTTTTAATTAATTTTTAAATGTAATTAAATTAGACTTGTGCTTTGCTACGGAGGCAGGGCAGATATGGCGAACGCTCTGTCCCGGTGAAAATGTTCCACTGGACGTTAACTAACAAAACAGTGGGATATTCCGTTGGTACAGGGCGTGTAGAAAGATTTGTTTCATTATTTCTATAGTGACCAAGATAAGGCACGCCTTCTAGCTGTTTCGACTAAGGAATATGGTAAAGCGTGTAACTAGTGACTAGATCCGAAGCAACACAGGCAGCGTTCTTGGCGGGGAGTAAGACTATATGATAATTAAGTTTCTAGTTTTAGTTGTTTTTAAATATTATTATAGTTTTTAGTATTGTATATAATTTAAAAGTGGATATATTTCGTCAAATTCATATGGGACCATCAAGGAGATCAAAATACATATAGTAATTTCACATTTCGTCAGTCCAGTAAATTCACAATCAATCATTCTTTTACTTGCTACCCGCTGCGGGATCATATATTATACATAGACTATAAAAGCAATTTTTTATTATTAAAAGGTATTTGAGACAATGAGTTAGAAGGATGTGGGCGGCATTTTCATCTCTAATGGCACCGGACAGTACACTATGCTACTGCTCCAATTGCATGTTGGTGGACTTCAGACACTCACGATTTTTTTTTGGCATTAACTAATAAGATATAGCGTTCCCATTATTAAAAAAATTACAACGCATTTTGATTCTTAATCGAGGATAGATGTAAATGTCTATGGTATGATGGCATTTACTTACCATCAGGTTTACTGTGTGCCCGTTTGTCACCCATATTTAATTAAAAATACGGTAACCAAATAAAAACATACTACATCGACTCCTAATAGGCCTCAGTTAGGAATAGATTTCATCCATTTTAGGGAATATTTGTCGTAAACATCACGAAATGTGGCCATTTTGGTCGCAGTACCAGATGTCGGGCAACTTTAACGTTATTCCAGTCACCGGTGTGGGTAATTAATATCTGGTAGTTGTTGGTATACCATCTAATCGTCATCGCCAGAGGAAGCGAAGTCTAAAAGGCCAGAAATTTTTAGATAGTCTCTTTTAGGGCACCAACGAGGCGAAATTAAGTAACGAATGTTTCACTCGGTTTTTCACTTCATTACAATGTAATATATTTATTTCAGGCATTAACAAAAATATTACATGGTTAAAAGTAACCAATAACATTCCGAGAATTTTTTTCTTTGGCGCGTTTCTGTATCGGCAATGCAGAAGAAAGTCAGAAATCAGGAGCGAGGAATGTCTGTTTATTAGCAGAAACCGTTGAAATTATATAGTAAGAGAATAAATGTTGCTATATTATATTTAAGATTGTTGTATATACGTATAATTAATGTTTAAAAAATCCAAAGATAAATTTCATAAGCATAATAAACAGATTGATGATAAAAACAAACCTAAAGTCCTTTACAATAAATATGCCATATGAAATTAGTGAAATGATTACTATATAAAGTATGAAAAATGCTTAACATCGGTTTTAGGACGTTATTGCTCACATTACATAATATTAACAAATACCTACTCTTTTGATGCATACCTAAAGTATTTTTATTACTTGTGTGACTGTGGGATTGATAAATTATATATCGTGGCAATTATGGCAAATACCCTCAACAATGGAGGAAGCCCACATTCATCTGTGCAATAAAGCCGGTAAAGAAAGATAGAATACACACCTTTTCTAATAAAACTCTCCTTTTCATTCAATAATCCAGCATCGTTCAAATTATCGAAATTGACGGATTTGTTTTTCTTGAAGTTATCAATGTTAAGGTGCTCGCATAATTTTTCTATCTGTTCCTCAGTTATCTCTTTGTCAAGAAATTTGGCAATGCGACGTACGCATGCTGGCAGATCCTGAAATTAATTATTTTATATACTAAACTTTGTTATAGCTCAGCAATATTAGAACGGACTTCTGAAGAAGAAATCTGCGCACACAAAAACAATCGTCTATCACTACAAAACTCACACTAAAAATTTAAAACAATAAACTAACAATTTCACATACACATAGATACATTAACGGATAACGGATTAGTAAGCTGAAGCGGCAGTGGGCCGGCCATATAGCTCGAAGAACCGACAACCGATGGGGAAGAAAGGTTCTCGAGTGGCAACCTCGTACCGGTAGACGAAATGTGGGGCGACCCCCCACTAGCTGGAGTGACGACCTGGTAATACATACAGGAAGTCGATGGATGCAGGTGGCTCAGGACCGTGCTTTGTGGCATTCCATGGGGGAGGCCTATGTTCAGCAGTGGACTTATGAAAGGCTGTAATGATGATGATGATGATAGATACATTATAACAGTATCGCTCGGTGACAGCAACAACTCGGATACAGACTCAGATCAGTTGCTCGACCAATCTGCATATTGTATGTGGGCGAGCGATCTGTTGGTAAACAGATCCGAAGCAACACTTTTAACAACACTATTTACAAATTGTTATTTATTATTTTATTTATAAATGTATTTTTTGTATAAAGAAGTAAATAGCAATAATTTGATTAAAAATTACTTGTATATTAAAGGTAACGCTATCTTTTTCGAAATTTGACGTGGCAGATCTCTTTTTGTAGCAAAACACTAAACAATTCAGCACTTTTGTAGGACGTCGATTAAGCCCTGCAACTTGATTTAAGTCAAGTGTGAACTACGACTGCAACTAGTTTTAATGTACGGATAGGACCGCATGACCTTATACTTTCACAGATTGGAACGCCTGTGTATGGCTACTCTCTTCCGATCCGCTGTTGGTCCGCGTTGCTCTTTGTCGGTGGTATAAAAATATAATCGTTGCTAAGAATACATCAAATAACATTGTGGATTTTCACCATTAGCTACACATATCATAATATAATAGTTGTAGTTATTACCTCCAGTTGGATAGTATTGGAAGTAATAACTAAAATATAGATAACTTTCCAATATTTTCTGATGCTTTCACTTATCTGTATACTAATTGGTGAATTACCCGAATACATATAACCGACCATCTATATCGATATAATCGAATCAAATACCCGACCCCTAGAACAAGAAGTATTTTTGCGAAAAGACACTATAGTTACATTGCCCCGCATTTGTACAATAAGTTATACAGGGAAATTAAATTAAACTTAAATAATTACAGTAACCACCAAATAAAGGCAAGGATCAGAGTGTGGTTAGAGAATCTTGATTATGACAGCACAGAAGCACTTATGCCGTAGGTTTACCACAAGCAATACTCACACACATAATATATTCCAACACACACACACACACACACCCACTCACACTTACACACACATCAACACACGAACAAATGCACACTTTAAGGGGAGGAACTGGTTCCTGAAACACAGTTATACTAGCTCAGGGACCAGGGAATCAATGAATATATGTAAAAAAGGTTGTTATTAAATAAATAAATAAAAAATATAACGTGACAAGATCACAATGCAAACTCTATTTTAGTGTTAGAGTAGGGACGATGATTACATATCAAGCAGCAACAACTCTATCTCGAGATTAAAATGTAAAAAAATGAATCTGATTGCTAATGAGATTTACCCAAATGGTAAGAAATAGATGCTGCAATCGAAAAATTATTTCAAGTTTTACATTTCAAACAGTTTACCTTAGAAAGGTCTTCGTAAAACAAAAAGAGCATGTTAGGATGGTTCCTCATTCGCCACGCTTCTTTAACGTGTTCAAAGAATGGCGCCCAGGGAACTGTAATATACAAACCACATCAGTGACTTAAAACAGGGAAACGTAATATCTTCCTTTTTCGAGAAAAAAATAATTAAGACAGAGCCTCCAAATTGTACTTTTTCAGGACATTTAAATATTTTACGTTTAAAATAGTTTATCGTCTCACTTTCTTGCATCAAAATAAATATCATGTTCATCCGAATCTGAGCAAACTCACTTGATGACCTCTCAGTGACACTTCTTTGAGGTGGTGTAGATTTACTGCCACCACCGTGGATCGTCTTGTGTACACTGCTGAACTATTCAAGATGCGTGAACGACTCTTTTACACATTAAATGTTAGGATTTGTTTTAGGGTTGAGCCATCTGTGTTAAGTAGACATCAAAGATTTCGAACTGTACAAGTAGTCAGTGATAAAAAATGTATACAAATAGCACTAGCACTTATAAATAAAATTTTGAATTATTCCGGATATAGCGTTACAGTTTCACTGAATTTTTTGTAATCTTTTGTAATTGTTAAAAAATAATGCTAATAATAGAAAAGATCGACATTATCTTGTCTTCATCAAATACGTTGAAACGTCATCTACACTGCTTATAGTAAAATTTTATATATATTTAAATTTACTATTATAGTTATATCAATATATAAAAATGAATGATATATATATATATATATATATATATATATATTATAGTTATACTATATTTTTTTTATAGTTACACCAATACATAAAAATAAATTTAATTGTTTATTATTCTTTAATGTGTTTCTATACTCGTACCACTCACCAATTAAAAAAAAAAACTTAAAATTTTTGTTAAGCACCTTCGAAGATTTCTGACGAATAAGTCAATATTTTGTTTGTCGATTGCTTGTCTTCTATGGCTTTCCATCCAGTTAATACGATTCTCATGCAACTTTGGTGAGATGTTTATCACGCCACCGCGAGGGTTTCACACTAAAATTGAGTTGTGTATCGCCAGCAACGCAAAGTCGGGAATTTGCATTTGGAAAAATCCAAAATTAGGGGCTTTTTAGGTGCTAATTAGGTGCCAAGTTAAAAAATTAGGTGCTCGAAAATTTTCACCGCAACGAACTGTTGAAATTTGCTTTGCTAACAAAACGTTTCGCTAGCAACGCAATGAAGTTATTAGATATACGAAAAATATTAATAGCAAGGAATTAAGTGCTAATTAGGTGCTGCAAGTACACGCAGTAACAAGGCGCCCCTAATAAAAATAAAGTCGTTATTCAGAACATAGCAGATGCAAAATTCAGATTTCCTGAAAATCAAAATAGAATCAAAATTGCTTTCAGAATAAGTCCAAATTAGGGGCTTTTTACGAGTATGTGCTAATTAAGTACAAAGATTAAAAATTAGTTGCTACAAAATTTTCACCGCAACGAACCATTGAAATTTGCGTTGCTGGCAAAACGTATCGCTGGCAACGCAATGAAGTTATTAGATATACGATAAATATTAATAGCAAGGAATTAAGTGCTAATTAGGTGCTGCAAGTATAGGCAATGACAGGGCGCCCCAGATAAAAATAAAATCGTTATTCAGAAAATTATTCAGCAAATGCAAAATGCAGCAAATGCAAAAATCAGGTCTTTGTCTTTGTGCCATCTAGCGTCTATCGCACTTACCACCTTTAGAGTCCATCGATTTTGATTCGATAAAATGACTAGAATTATAGAACATTGTAGATGGCGCTATTTATTACAAAGAAATTTACTGGAAAAAATATCCTTTCGATTTAGTACACTAAAAAAATTGTAACATCCTTTTGCTATAAAATTAAACTTCTATCGTTCTATCGTATATATTATATCGCACTTGCACGGTTGAAAGTTATATTAAATCAATCGTTAGCTGGAAATCTTTTGAAGTGTTATTTTTAGTAAATCCTACGATGAAATATAAATGATATTTTTAATTCATATTTGTAACAAATAAATGTCATAAAATGTAAAATAATTTTTAAACTAGGTAACGATTAAAAAATTGTTTTAAATTGTTTTATAATTAATAGAATCAGGCGTTACTTTGCGGAAATCCATTATATAAAAGCTTTTAGAAAAATTTACTTCGCAAATATCCGCGTTATAAAATAAAATGTTGTGTCTTACCTAGTATGAAGAGCACCTCCCGCCCTCCCTCAATTGCGTGCACTATCCCAGTCACCACTAATCCCAGCACCGCTACTCCCAACACCACTACACTATGCCGCTTAGCGGTTAGCCACCGTAGAGTCTATATCACCTGAGGATGCCTCGTGTAGAGGCGAAACACGTGTCGTATTATCGTCAGTGGTGTGTCTTGCCTAGTGTAGTGGTGTTGGGAGTAGCGGTGCTGGGATTATTGGTGTCGGGGATAGTGCACGCAATTGAGAGAGGGCGGGAGGTACCTATAAAACATCTTTGGTATTGATGATTCAACTTTACAAAACTATTTTGTCTTTCGTGGATCGTGGCACATGTTTATGAGATACGAAAACTGTCAATTAATTATTTATTTAATAATATATCAAGATTTCAAATATAAACCCTAACACACAGTTTACGTTGAAATTCAGACCACTATATAATCAATTTAGGTATGAACGGTAAAATAACGTAGGTATTAATTTGTCGTATTTGTTTATTTTTGAACAAAAACTTTAATATAAATTGGTCGGTAAGCTATGAAATCGTGTATTGTTATGAATGAATTGGACAAACATGATAACTTTATTCAATATCATTATTTATTTTATTAATTTAATAAAATTGTTTATTTTTAAATGAATAAAAAATAAAATGAATAAATTTTTTGTGTTTAAGCCATCTAGCGTAATTTATACCTACCACCTTGAGAGTCCATCGGTTTGGGTTCGATAAAATAATTAAAACTATAGAAAGATGTAGAAGGTGATATTTATTATGAAGCAATTTTACTGGAAAGAAAATGTGCCGGACGGGCGTAACTCTCCGGAGTAAATGTTGTCGAAGATACTCCGCGAGCCGCTCACGTCCTACACCTATAGGTTCAGGAGGATACTTTCACTACCGCCTTTGTGTATGCTGTTGGAGAACTGTGGACTGAGGTTCAGAATTAAAAATGCACGATTTATAAATTAAAATAGCAAGGGAGTGGCCAGCGGTTCGACTGATTAATTAGTTGCGAAATATTATAACTTATTTATTTATTTAACACTGTTGTTCAACTATGGTTGTTCACTATATATTTCAAAACACAGATTTAATTAAACACACGGTAATATTAAAATTTCTATTGGTTTTTAAAATTTCTATTCGTATTTTCAAATTATCTGTTGGTAATATCAAATTTCTATTGGCAGTACCAAGTTCCTATTGGTATTCTCTAATATATCTATTGGTAATTTCGAATATCTATTGGAAGTAACAAATTTCTATTGGTAGTATCAAAAATATCTATTGGTAGTAGCTGGTTTTTAACACTACTGACTAGCAGCTATTAATCAACTAAAATTAGTTGAATTTAACACTTTTGTAACTGCGAATATCAATTACCACTTTTTCCGTCTAGCTAACACTTTTCACTATATGTAACGGCGTAATTTCCGTTACCACTTTTTTCAGCTAGCTAACACTTTTTCACTATATGTAACTGCGAATTTTCAGTTACCACTTTTTTCAGCTAGCTAACACTATTTTACTATATGCAACTGAGAATTTTCAGTTGCCACTTTTTTCGACTATGTGTAACTGCGATTTTCAGTTACGACCTTTTTCGGCTAGCTAAACTTTTCTATTTCACTATAACTTTTCACTGTGTTCTGCTACTAGTCACTTCAGCTACTACCGGATACTACTGCTTGTTACTGATAGTTCTTCCTACTACAATGTTACTGTGTTTTGCCCCCATAAGGTAGACTTCGGCTATACTCTATAGAGAGCCGCTTGCCAATTTCCGGTTTTGCCTTTTTATTATTAAACATTTTCATTATGTAATTTGCACAAATCGCAATTTTTCTATATAATGCTAATTTTTACACTAACACGCTATACACTATAAAATAGGCATTTTGGTCCTTTATCATTATGTGATAAGGGTTACTTAATATATTTACATTTAAAAAAGTTATTAATCAAAATATACCAAACTTTCACAACAAATGTGCACATTAAATCTTTAATTTTAATATATTTATCAAATGCGTTTATTTACATAAATTATCTCTTTACTATTGCAATCTATACACCATATGCTAACTAAATATCATATTTACAATTCTTTCAGAACACAAAAATATTCTTATTATTTTCATATAAACTATTGCGCAGTTAATTTACTTCTAGAAAGTTCCACGATATGCTGCGCTGTGATTGGTCGAATCTTTATTAAATGATTAAAGTTGTTTATATCAACTATTATTAAAAACGACATTCTATCCAAGTATATTAAGAATTGTAAACACATTGTAAACCTATATTAATACACAATTTGCTCGATTTTGTTATTAATTTCACTTTTTAAACAATTTAATATTCTTTCATCACTTTTTGCTTAAAGTCTTTAAACCGTCGCGAACATCTCTCCCGCCGTGCAGCGTCGCGAAGATCTCATCGTAGTGGCAATGCATCCATTTCGGTGAGCGACGTTGCTTCTACTTCGGTAGCGGCACGAGTTTCCTGGTTGGCCTCTTGATTAGGCCGTTTATGGTGCGTACCTCCACAGTGCGGATCTGTCCGTCCGCACCGGGGTACACAGTTTCAATCCTTCCTCGTGGCCAGGTGTTACGAGGTAACTGGCCGTCAGCAATGAGGACTGGATCGCCCACCTGGAGATCGGGGCCTCGACCATGGGCCTCCCGCCGGTTTTGAAGTTCCGGTAGATATTCTCTGACCCAATGCTGCCAGAACATATCAGCGAGTATCTGGGAGCGTCGCCAGTGCTTTTTGCTATCTATATCCTTTTCATTAAATACTCCAGGTGACGG